GTTACATAAATGACAGATGTCAATCTGTAAAATAAGTCGTATTTGTACAATAAATGCAGTTTTTGCACTTTTTATTAAGATGTACTTTAGAGCAAAGAATTATTCCCTATTTCTGCTTCATATATGCCTTAATAATTTCATCACACAGAAGTATTTCTTAATTTTTCTTTAATTTTACTTTGAAATATTAGTAGCTTTATGCCATTTTAGAAGGTTTTGATTTAATAATACATTTTGTTCGATTTGTTTTTGTATGATATAAAAAACTCATTAACTTAGTCTGGTGATTTTAAAGTTTGGGCCCCTCCCCCCCTCCATAAATAAATCGTGTATCCACCCCTGTGATACTGTTTTAGTTGTGTGTTTTTTTTTTGGTTTTTTTTTGCGTTTATTTTTTTTTCATTTTTCACACAACATAAAAATATACATTAAATTATCTTGCAAGGTGTTTTACAGTGATTCTAATCCTCTTTGACTCATGAATAATTATTATGGAGAATTGTTAGAATAAATATTTTGTTATTTTTCAGACCTACTTGAGAGTGTTGATGATAATACTCCTTCACAGAAGAAACCTGGAACTTATCCAGATTCCATGCAATCATACGGTTAGTTCACCCACTGTGTATAAATTGTACACAATGCTTCCCAAATGTTTCTGACAATAATCTGAAAGAATGTATGTAGAATGTTGTATGCTGTAACTTGCTGTATTTATTGACTATTAAAAAAACCATTATGATGCAAATAATCACCATTTTGCTTGTTATTCAACCTTTTTGCTTTACTATCAATATTACAGAAAGTGAGACAGGAGTTCCACCAGAAGCACTTAACAAGAAAGCAATATCTATCATAAACAGAGTCAAAGATAAATTAACAGGTAAAAATTGTTCATTTTCTGTCTTATTATTGCCAATCTCATTCCATCCAAGATATTTTAAAAAAACAAGATCAACAAAAATGTGGCCACTTGAGGGCGATATATGTATCTGTTTTTATTTCTACAGGCCATGATTTTAAAGGACATGAACAATTAGATGTACCATTACAAGTTGAATTATTAATAGAACAAGCAACATCTCATGAAAACCTGTGCCAGTGCTATATTGGATGGTAAGTTCACATATATAATCAGGGGTTTTTCTAGAAAAAAAAACTGCAAGAGGGGGAGCACTGCAATTCAGTGGTGCCACCAAGTGGAGAAGATAGGTTCTCCCTATCAGGGAGTAGAGTTTTTGATAATTCTAAGTTAAAATGCAGCATTCTATGGCTTCCTTGGGGCCAAAATTACTATCAGACAGGTCACAATTGAAGACTGTGGTCACAGTTGGCCTTGGTCAATCAGAATTATATAGTTGCCAGAGGATCTGCTCCCCAGAGTTAGGGGGGCGCATGGCCATGGCATGAGGGCGCTGCGCCCCTGTTCCCTTGTTTAAAAAAATTCCTGTATTATGATTATTGTATTTCAAACACATTAGGTATAGTCTTTGTCCTTATTTATTTTTTGGGATGTACAAGTACACTGATTTATTATTATTATTGTATTATTATTACAAATTATTACTAAAATTAAGTTTTAATATCAATTCACTTACTTCTACATTGACATATATTTAGCAAGAGAAGATCCCTTACTGTAGCTGCTCCACAGTATCTCTGAATAATCTCAACAATGATTCAAATCATGGAATAATATTAACAATGATTCAAATCACTGTATCAGAATTTCTCAACAATTATATAATTTTAATTTTTTACAGGTGTCCATTCTGGTGATTTGAAAGTGTACCAAACATTGCTGTACTACTTAGAACAACATTACAACCACTGCTCCATGAATTACTGTGGAATTATTTGCCCCATAGACGTTTTGACTCGACCAATGAACATTTGATTTGTCTTCATAATTTTGTAATTCTTTATTGAAAATAAGAAGAGCAAGTACCAAACTGGTTACCATGGTAATCATAGTATCCCTGTGGCATGAAAAGTTAACATAATTAATTATTGGGAACATTTGTGATCACTTTGAAAAAAGTACAAAAACGATGACCCCCCCCCCTCCCTCTCATTTGTTTTCAACTACTGTAGAATACTTTATTTTTGTTATAGATAAGATTGAGTGAAAAAAAAAATCCAGCAAATATACTGTTGTTCCTATAGTTTACATTCAACTCGTCAAAAATCAGTGAAAATAAACTCAAAACACCCAAAAAGTCTGTTCAGCAAAAATTAATTCCAGCTAAAATAAAGTATTTTACAGTAACTCAAACTTGATTGTTGTGAACTTAATGGCACTAAGGATCATGTTAGCTTAATATGGCATTACTATGTCAAACTATTTATAGAGTAGATCTATACATTACAAGGTGTCATCCACACAATGATTAATAACTGACAAAATTGAAATGAAGTTTATTTTTTGTAAAATATGCAGAATTCATCTTTGCAATATGTTATGCTCCCTAAATATTCTTAGCAGTTTTGATGTCATTTAGTGTTTATCTCACAAAAACAGAATTTGTTTGTATCGCCCATTCATCAATGCTTTGCTAGTTTGCATGTCTTGTTGAATGGGTTTCAATTATCTGTAAACTTTGTGTAGATGACAGAAAATAAATATATCTCAATATATTGCCAAAAATGAGATAATTGTCTTGACTTGTAAGATAAAAAACTTAATTCCTTTAGTTCCACCCCCACCCCCACTCCACGAACTACAAATACTTCAAGATTTATTTGGACTTCATTAAAAAATAAAATCGTTATTGTTGGATGAAAACTTTTTGAGGTCAACCCCCCACCCCCCACCCCAAACTAAAGCAAATAAGTTTTTTATCCGACATCGATCTTTTGAAGTCTTCCCTTAGTAAAATGCTTTATTATCCTGGATAAACACAATAGTCTGAATCAAATGGTGCATCACTAGTTTTTTTCCACTTACTCTGGGGACCACATGCCCTCAGAAGTAAAAGGGTGTGCTGTAAGTGCTGATACCAGTCCTTTATGAGTGTTGGTGAGTGAGCTATTCGCTGAACAAAGGGGTGAATTCTGAATTGATATCTTAATGCAAACCTTACATAAGTCCTTTGTGATCTGATCTGAAGTATAACCATCTTGCACAATTATAGCTGATTGATATGAGGAGACTGGTCTCCCAAATTCTTTGCTACCAGAAACAGGCGAATGTATAGCAACCAGGCCTGACATGTTGGCCGGCTCAAACTCTTGCAAATCTCAGGTAAACAAGACACACCTACTGTATTTGGATTGCACCTAGAGAAATCACTGGGAAAACACTAAGATTAGAACATCAAAATACACACAGAATAAACCCACAGGTACAAAGCCGCTAAGTAGTAAACAAAATACCACATGTTAGTCTCACCTTTAACCCAGATGATGCACGCCCTCAAACAGGGCGCACCTGAAAAAAATAATTCATTGGTTCTTGCAAGCATGTTGCAACGCATTGACTTTCTAAGCATTCTTAAGTAATTCAGACTGTGGGGGCGCTATTTTAAGTATCTTGGGTTTCATTGTTGATTTATATTTCAATATGAAATGCAGTATTGAATTACGAACAGTGATTGGTTGATTAGTGGCATGATACCATGTGGGCCCCATTATGAAAATGACAGCTGCATTAAACTGACCTCTAACAAAACACCTGGTATGGCATCTGCAAATTTCCTTACAACTGTCATGAACTTAAGTTGTTTTTGCGTATATGTTGACCGACTTATTTAGCACAAATTTTCCCAATGACACAATTGTGCAAATGTTTCCCTGTATAATCGACATATTTTATAAGCATTTATTTTATCATTTAAAACTACGAAATCAGATGAATATTTGCTAAAAGTGACACCAGTACTTGACTTGAACGGAAAGTACGTTATATTGAATTGTACTGTTCAAAACAGCGTTTCTTTTAGATGAATGATGTGTGAACTGACTCTGGAAAAACGCGCATTATTTTATTTTTTACATCAACAAACACCAACTTTTAATTACAGCGTATTAATTTCAATATATTATCTATTCCACTCACAGGCCTTGACGTACACGTATCATCTTATAATTATAATGATTGCGTTAATGAAAATAATAAATACAAAATATATACACAAGTAATTACATACAATAAAATGGTTAAATTAATAGCTCAGCGCGTTTCTTAAATGCGCGTGGCACAAAAGTCGTACAGAATTGCACAAAATAAACAAAAACAAAATTATACATATTTTTTAAGGTTTTGAAAGCGGGACAGATAAGATCGAAGTGATATTCGTCTTCTATGATTATGTTGAGAGTATGTTCTCTCTAATCTGAGAATACTGAAATGTCAGTAAGTTTTGATTCTTAGTGAATAAATATCACTATCTATACGAGAATTGTGCGTGTCGTTATCTGAATGTTGGATATATCAGTGGCGGCGGCAAAAAATGTTGGGGACGTCGCTCCTCCAAAATCAAGTTGAAACCCTTTGTGTCAGCAAAAGTTGCCCCTCAAAATGCAGAAAATAGTGTTTCAAAGGGTCCAGATTTCCAAATTTTCAAAGAGGAGCATGCCCATGGACGCCCTAGTACTAAGGGCGCGCCTTCGGCTCAAGGTTGGTGAGCAGACGCCCCCAATGCAAAATGTTGTGCCGCCGCCTCTGTATATAGACCACTGCCGGCCCCACCGAATCTATCTATCTATCTATATTGTAACACACTAGTTCATATTGAAAGAATGGGCAACATAAACACTTGTTAAATTCCCTAACATTCTCATTAAAGAGTAAAAAAAAACGATGTAAATTTTATATTTAAATGAAGAATATTAAACTAACACAAATACAGAATTTATTATTTCAATAATAATTGTCTCTAGATGGCGCTATTTCAGATTACCCACGTGTTCCTCCGCCCCGATAACAGATCACATCAAATCATTGTGAATTACAAATTATTCAGATTCAGTTACGATTGTATGAAATTTGGTCACTGAAATTTTCTCACAAAACGTTTAATTGTGATATTCGAGGTATTCAACCATTCTCTTTGATAAAAAGAATCACCATACTTCTCAAACTCAAAGTGCGTAGCTTACGTGTGTTGATCACGTGAACTAAAAAGGAAACAGCGCGCTTTTTGGCTGAAGAAGGAGAGAGCATAATTCTTGCGCACATTTTACCTTAGGTCTATGCTAAAATCCAGGTAACTAAATGTACTTAATTGTCAATATTAGTCAAGGCATAAACAGACAGTGATTTTAATTAATGGGATACATCACTGTTGTATGACATATACGTTTGAGGTAATGTTAAACAAGCTATGTGTCTTGTACACATAATGGTCTATCATAGTGATGTATTCACCGTATACTATAATTTCGAGTAATTGGAAAAATAAATTTAGATAAAAAGTAACACAAAAACATACAAAATAATTTCACATGTCATTCTATTTAACGTGCTATTTTTACTGCAATGACACATAGAAAGATTACTAAAATATTACGGCCCAGGAGCGTGTGCGCTTGTGAATAACAAAATGTGTGTCCGTACCGTCTTACAATAAAATTGTTTTCATATTGGAACATACATATCAGAGTTATGTCATTAGACATGGTTAATGTCTGAAGCGTTTCTGTTTTACTCATCGATAACCACCAAACGTTTACAAGGTATTTACCCTGAAGATCGTTGTAAAATTTTGACCCTGAAAAAATGAAGTTCAAGCTTCGTGACAATGAAATTACCACGTGTGTTTTTAGGTTCAGACGAAAACGTCATCGTCAACATCTACAACGATTCCGTTGAAATTGTCATTGTTACTTTGATACCCACGGTCTGCGTCGGGACTTGCAATCACCGCCAAAGGTAGATCGGACGCCGTAGATCTCCGCTTTCGTTCTCGCTCCGCGCGCAAGCAACAAATCCTGTGTGTGAAGCACCGACAACAACGTGGATGCCTTTTTCGATAGAGGGCGCGCACTCTCTTGTTGCAAACGAATGCGACAAAGATGAAGACACCTTGGAGACTGATCATTATAATAAATATAACCCAAAACACACCACTGTCCGTAAAGCTCGCAATTAGTCCAAAAATCCAGGCAAACCCCATTACGGTTGACATTTTTACATAAATAGCAGTATCACTATCACTTCGTTTTCGATGAGAATTTCGCCGAACGGCTTGTTTTGTTTGTCGTATATGGTAAATGGCACTGATGTAAAAACAAGTATTGACAATGAGAATGAGCGCAATAGGTATTATGAATGCAAATAACAGAGAATATGGGTTTATTATCCAACAGACAACATACCCGTAGCCGAATAAAAAGTCTACGCAGCCGCAGAAGTTGAGAATAACGCAAGGTATGACGATAAGTAAGGGTGACCCCCATCCGTAGATTGAATAATATACGATCTGACTCTTCGAAGAACGGTACGATTTGAACTTCGAACTCTTGACGGAGAACGTCTTGAAAGCATCATACGCAAGTACATTCATCCAGGAAAAGTTAGATAAGTTCAGATAATGTAGAGTAATTGCAATTATCGCACATAAAGCGTAAATCTCTGTCTTGTCAGCGCCAATCAGGAACAATAATTGCGCCAAGAAAAGTGATACTGTTAAACTCATAATACATAACCCAGGGACTGTTCGAAGCTCTTCAAACTTGGCGTAGGTTACGAACGTACCGATGAGACACGCCAACGATATTAATGTTAGAAACACCGTTAGAAACGTGTAAAACTGAGGATAATCGTAAAATGACGGAGAAATATCATAATATCCAGGAGTGCATATTTCTATGATTCCTTTCTCCCAATTGACAATGGAATATTCATCAGTATCGTATATTTGGTCATTATACTTGATTGATCGGTTTGGAAATATTTCGTATTGTGACGAGTTCAATCTAACTCGTGGACAGTCTCGGTCCTTAATGTATGGCCACTTTTCGCATACCATAACGGTGTATTCCACGTCCCCATGGCCTGTCTCTGACGACGACGTATATGACGTAATGAGAAATTCATCCCATTCATAAACAGACTCCGTGGTGTTGACATAGAGGGCCACCGTTCCATTCCACCTCACAAACGTTGCATCCGGGTAACTATACGTGGTAAAGTTACCATTGGTACAACCTGGGCTGAAATAACTCATGGTTAGCAACGGATCTTGATAAGTTGAGTTTTGATCAATGTTGACTATTGTGACTTCCACAGTATTTCCTAGGTACTGAAACTCAAAACTCACTTCGTTCATCAATACTAGTGACATTTTTTGAAATATCTGTAGAAAAGTAGCATCAGATAAGTTCCAGTAAACATCATAGAAAGTGATAGTTACGGTAAATACGACGTTACCGCCAAACACGAGATCCGAAATAATACATTCATCTAACATCCCATTTTCTTTATATGTTTTGTTTACGTTGCTCGTGTCAATATCTTCCACATGACCCTCAACTTCTCCTACTTCAACATTCACTAACTCACCGATAGTTATGTTGAAAATATTCAAAATAAACTGATGAAATTCTTGGCGTAGTTGATTAACATCAGTAACGCAGCTCACATTAAAATTTAAACTACATTCCAAAGTTAGGGTGAATGAAACTGAATCGAAGCCCATACTGGCGTTATACGGGTGAGTATGAATAACGACACTTGGGATGGTTCCAACAAGAACGCATTCGCTACCGACCAGTTGATAGCCGTTGGCGCAGTACACCTCTCGACACTGGCCCATAATTGGGTCGTAGACTTTTCCTGGATTACAAGTAGAGTACACTGGCACGAGAGACCCAGTTTCGCTGTCATATCGGATACTCTCTTGGCCATCAAAATTTAGGGTGATAAGAACAGCGTATGATACTGCTTGTGTTTTTGTGCCCGATCCAGGTAATTTTGCGTGATCGTATTCATTTTCACCCAGCATAACAACCCCGTCGTCTGCTTCTATTGTACCCAGAGGTCCGATGGGCGTGTCCCTTTCTTTCCACACCGGACAAACAATGTTGCTCGGTAAAACACCGTTACATAGTGCACAGTATTGGTTTTTGTAAACCGCTAAAACTGTCTCTTTTGCAACTATCACAATGGAATTGTATTTGCTACTACACTTCGAAGATATGTCGGTGTTGCTATACTTCAAATCGCAGTGTCCTATGGCGCGAATACAAATCCGAGGCACACTGTCCGATGGTCCGAGAAGAAAAGTGGTACACCTGTATCGAATATATAGTGAGAGCACTATAGGGTCTGTGGCGATTGATGTGGGGGCAGGAGAGCTACACGTTGACATGGCAACCCAAAACGTGACTTTGTTGATATAATTACATTGCGCACAAAACACGTTACGGTAAGTGTTTCCGTCGCTTCCCTGCACTGGCAAGATGGATAAACTGTCGGTGGTTTGAACAGTGAGACACAGTTGTTCAATGTAGGAGTCTTGCCAATTCGGTGCACACCTCGTATACACCCATAGCGGATTTATGCTGTATTCTCTGATTACGACACACTGGAACCCATTAATTACGTCATTGTTGTTCGGAAATTCTGTTTCGGTTATCCCCGTCGGGGTTGTTCCTGCCAGTTGTCCGCCAATATAATCATCCGTAGTTAGTTCTTCTCTTTCGTCGTTACACATCAGTTCGTAGTCATAGCAACAGTCCCCATAAACAAGACACACAGTATCACAAAAACAGTTAAGATGGGCATCATTGATGACAGTGTGTTCGGTATGGTTCCATATCGATAGCGGCTTAGGACGGAAACCACAGCGCCCGCCACACGAGTCAAACGGACTGCACTGCGTAGAACCACGACTCTCCAATTCAATCACGTTTGAGTCGATGGCACCAAATCCGTTAACTGGTGGATAACTCACTGTATACGTATCAGTTTCGACGTTCGGACTAGTCTGAGTCAGTTTGCCTGCATCAGTGGAGGCGACGAAAATAATCAAGTACGTGAAAAATCGCCCCGTATAACAACTCACGGTGGATGTGACTGGTTTGAACTTCATAATAGCGGAAAGTTTTCACTACGTCTCAAGACAGACAATTACTGTCGTTACAACATCGTAGGTAAAACAATTGTGCTAGAATCTTAACAGGTGGCGTTCGTTCCACGGCAATCAAACAGACCATTCCATTATACCAAAAAAAAGGGATGTAAAAGAGGAGTAAAAGGGGATTTCTCGTTACCGACGCGCCCACTATGTTCGCAGGATTGAGTAAGCAATCTTCTACTCAATACGCATAAGGTGGCATTTCATACCGATAAAAAGTAGTGAAATCGAACGACAAATATACAATTACATGAAAGCGACTAACCCCCCCCCCCCACCCCGTTGGGATGTATATAGTCTAAATTATATGCGTCACGTGATTGGCTGCTTTATCGTGTGATGTACTTCTAAAATCATCAGTTTGTAGATAAGTAATCTGATTGTTCGAGGCACTTGTCAAATAACGGCGCGTGGGTCTATTTGGGCCGCGAGGCTGGGTCACTGTGGATAAGTCATTAGCTCACTGAAATAATACAAATAATGTACACACGTATGCACCCCGGATTTACAAAAACGTTAAAGTTCAAATTTGTACAAGAAATTCGAAGCACACTATAGTGTATGCTATTAAGATGAGAGTACGATTTATATTCTTTCCGTGGCGTGTTTTTTTTCCCATTAGCACTTATGTAATCAATTCAACGTAAAAGTAGGTGAGGTTGACAGGCTAACAACGTAACAAGCCGACAATAACTATGAAATCCCCCCCCCCAACATGCCATATTCATTAATTGTTTACTTGATAACCAATTTAGGAAAACAACAAGTGATTTAGTGAAATGTACTGTAATGACAGTCGTCTTGGCAATTTATCGTGGTTTGCACATAATTCCACGTAAATGTACGAGATGCATTCCTCAAGCCTTGGATGATTATTGCCGTTGATGGCGTGCTAGCAGATACTGAAATCGCCGGGTCTCTGCCACAGGCAATATTTTATGCCTCAATCAGAGGAATTACGCATTTTTATTCAAAACGCTGTATTATTCCTTATTCAGTATTTTTATTAATTATATAACATGGAAGCAAAAATCCACCAAATAAATAGCTACTGAAATGTTACAGAATACAAAAAAGAATCTCAAAAAAAAAAAAATCAAAAAAGAAAAAGAAATATGATGACAAGAAGGAGCCGTGTCGCTACTTCCTGTAGAACAGTCAACGTGAGAAATTTGATTCTGTCGAAATTACTCGAATAAAGCGCAGAAAACGAGGCAAAATAAATATTTTCTGGTAAGTGGGGTCTTAATGATATGTTAAAAGTAGTGTTATAATCATTAAAATAGAGGGACTACTTCACCTAGTGCCCTTGTTTATTAGTCACTCATGGTTGCCAGTTGATCCCCTGAATTAAAAATAATGGTATTGTCATGAATTTGTTTTTGCGTATCTGTTAACCGACTTAATTAGCTGATTATTAGCTGAATTGCTGTGTTATGTCTGTCATCGTTTAGGCCTATTTGAAGTTTTGGACGGAACTTGGCTCAGTGATTTGGAACTAATTACGAGATATCCGTCGCTATTCTGACAGTTGGTATTCTAGTTATTAATGTAGTGAACGATTAATCAAAAGATATGACGTATTCAGTACTTAGTGTGATTGGCTTTATGATTGAAGGTTACGCCCTAGAGTCTTTTTACTGTTTTGTAATTGGTTAGAGTTTTGAAAATGAATAAAGAGAGTTTGAGTTGGTCTTGGGGAGCAGAGCACGATAGACGCAGTCTGAGAGTCGAGGGCAGTCCTGGAGAGCCTTGGGGCGAGTGTTGACGCAGTCAAAGAGAGTCTTGGGGACTTTTCCCCAGGGCGCTGTGTCTTATAGAGTGCTCGATTGACCGACTAAGACGAGAGCTGAAACGTATTTCGTTGTGTGTGTCTTATTTGACTGTAAAGTATAAGTGACTTCCCCGATCCCGTACCTCAAGGGGACGAGATAGAGAGACGAGACGAGATTCCCCCCTGACAAGTGTGGAGAACACCCGAGAGAAAAGAATTTCCCCCTGATAGTATCCCCCAGGTGCATTGCGGGAATTATGAGTGATACCTGTAGAATATTTAGTTTAGCTCCACTTTCTGCGGTGAAGCACAACGTCTCCCCAAGGGTGATGTACCAGTGTCCCGAGAGGCGAACTGGTAGTGTAAATAACTTGAATTGGGGTGACTGACAAACAAGGGCTTCAGCTGACTTGGCCCCTCTAGTTTATGGCATCACTCGAATGACTACCACTATCTTTTTAAGTTAGGTATTTGTCTAAGTTAAACAAAGTTAGTTTAAGCCCAAATCTATGAAGCAAAGCCACATGCACCACAGTCGACCAAGCCCAAACCCAATTAAGACACAGTGTGAACTTGAATTCAATGCAAACATTTGCGATTTACGCTCCGTAAATTTTAAGCGAAGCGAACAGTCTAGTTCGCCAGGTCTTTGGTTGTTTAGTCCTAAAGAGTTGGTTAGTCAATAAGGTGAATGGGTCAGCCTGAGAAATCATCAGCGGATAGAACATGTATGCATGATATGCCTGAAGACAAGATGACCCGAATAGTTTATTCCTAGACCCGTCGGCAAGATAATAATAATATAATAAAAATAATTGTTTATTGCATCTTCAGAAATACATATTTATTTCATCATATATCAATAAAAATATTAATCAATACAAATAACAAGTTAAGAAGAATTTGAAAAAGTATAAAATATAATAATTTAAAATCATCTGTTTGTGTGTGTGTTGTTGATGAATTGTGCGACATGCTTAATTGAGATTTTTTCTGTTATTTTCATTAAAAATTGAAATTTTTCATTATTAGATTTAATTTCTTTTAGGAGTATTATATATTAGAACAAATCTCGTTGTAATGTAATGTATTTTGGACAAACTATGAGTACTAAATGTAACGTTCTCCATCTTTTATTTTATGCGTATCACAATTTCTGTCTTGTAACGTTGTTTAAATTTGTGGCTGCGTATATCTGCCCGTTTACTTATCCTGAATTTCGTTGGACTTATTCTTTGTTTAGTATTTATAACAGTCGAGAAATATTGTTCATAAAAATAATCTTCCTTAAATTTTGAATAAGTACGCAATTTGCTATCATCTTTCATAATCTTTGATCGCCAATGATCAGCGTATTTTTGTTTCATTTGACATTTCCCTTTGTTAATCAAATTTTTGAATTTTTAGTCTAAGATTGTTTCCTCTGTATCATGCAGTGAATTTTGATTAATTTACGTCAACATGCTTTTTATTGTTGACATCCAAATATAACTATTATGTGGATTTTTTGTTCATTGTATGCCCATATTGTAGTCTTAACCAATATTTAAACATTGAAGTATGTACTTCAGTCAGTAATAGAAAACTACCAATATCACTTCTACAAGCTGCATTGCTAGCATACTTGTTCAGTCCAAGAATGCTTTTACAGTATTTAAGATTTTTAAATAGCACCATATCTCTCATCCCCATATTTCTGCACCATAATATTGGTTTGATATTGGAATTAAATAACATGATAAAAATGTTGATATCTGTGTTAAATAATAGTGCTTTGTTAAGTGCAGACAGAGCTGTGGTGCTTTTTCGGATAGTGGCTTTAATTTTGTAAAATTTCCTGATGATGTCATCAATATACCAAGGTTTTGATTGATGTTTTCAGTGATCTTTGATTTCTAGTTTCCATTTATGGGTGAAGTAATTTCATTTTGTAATCCAGGTGTTTGAGACAACATCTGTTGTTCTACCTACAATTTTTACGAAAATCAGCCTAATTATTTTTAATTTTCTTTTCTTCTAAGTATGTGGTTAGTCTGTTGAATTTTACCTATGCTATTGGTTACATAGATTCCTTTATAACTACATCCCCTTTTTATGTAGCTGAGTGATTCGACTAGTATTCCATACAGTCGGGAAAAAAGCTGTGTTTAAATCAAAATTGAAAAGTGTTGTTAATGGTTCAGTTACGGGATTTGAATTAAATTTTAGTAACTCAAGGCAAATACTATCAAACCCTACTGACAATGATATGAGTCGCATCTTGTCTAGTAAGAAAGACGATGCCAAAGTAAAATCCACTGTGCTTACACCGTTACAATGGTAACCAGTGGCGGATCCAGCAAAATGTATACGTTTCAGCTCTCGTCTTAGTCGATCTTTTGGAGCACTCTATAAGACACAGCGCCCTGGGGAAAAGTCCCCAAGGCTCTCATAAGGCTGAACCAAGACTCGCCCAAGACTGGACTGCCTCAAGGCTCGCCCCTGGACTGGACTCTCGACTGCCTAGGACTGCACTCTCTCTCTTCTGCGTCTATCGTGCTGTGTTCCCCAAGACCAACTCAAACTCTCTTTATTCATTTTCACAACTCTAACCAATTACAAAACAGTAAAAGACTCTAGGGCGTAACCTTCAATCATAAAGCCAATCACACTAAGTACTGAATACGTCATATCTTTTGATTAATCGTTCACTACATTAATAACTACGGATGTAAACTGTCAGAATGAGTAGTCTAAAAAGCGGCGGTTATCTGGTAATTAGTTCCAAATCACTGAGCCAAGTTCCGTCCAAAACTTCAAATAGACCTAAACGATGACAGACATAACACAGCAATTCGCTAATAATCAGCTAATTAAGTCGGTTAACAGATACGCGAAAACAAATTCATGACACATCCCTTCACCCAAACTGAGATATGCCTCTCGGCATTGCACGTTCACAAATCAAAGATACCGTCCTCTACTCGTCGTCATACACGTTAAATACAATACTAAGAAAAGGAATAAATCAAAAAGAGTAAAACACACTAATTAAGTACAATGATTATAAAGTCTAAATACAATGGTTATAAAGTCACAAATATCAACGGTTATAAATCAAAAACAAGGGAAAGGCTACCAATCGACTCACTTTTCTCAAACAGTCCGCCGAGGGTAACCCTTCGCTGCACTGTCTCCGTTA